TCATATTATGCTACTTAATATTACACAGATGAGTTTAGTCTTTCTGTCTGTTCTTCTCTTTCTGACTGATGCTCTCTATGTCGATCCACTTATATGCAAATTTCATGATTATTCATCTCTCCTAACAGCTGTATAGTATTCCATTGTGTAGATGTACCAGAGTTTCTTCAACCAGTCATCTGTTCTTTTTTTTAAAATTTATTTATTTATTGAATCGCTGTGGGAAAAGTTACAAAGCTTTCAGGTCTAGGTCTCGGTCATGCAAATATCAATCACATTTCCCTTTACCAATACTTATTTTTCACCACGAAGAACCCCAATAAACCCCCACTCCCCACCCCCCCATGCCTGTGGGGCAGATGAATTCTAGTTAACACTCTATCTACTTTGACTAGATTCATTGTTGCGATAAAAGTTGCATCATTATTATTTAGACTTTACCCTCCCCCCCAAATCAGCCATGCTGAAAAAGTATTGTGAATTGATTTGCTTTCTACAGCTGGGTTCAAGAATTAAATGATGATGCGTGGCCGCAATAGCAGCCGCATGGTTTTGGATTTCTGCTATTTTATTTAATGACCCTGGAAGTATTTCTACTGAGAGTCAGATAATTAAGAGATTGGTTTCTGTGCTTCTGGGGCCGTGGCCTTGCTGGAGAGCCGCTCGTGGGGGGCAACTGGTGACCTTGGTAGGGCGTGAAGGTCGGGCCGGAACGCCCCCCCATCCCCCCGTCCCATGAGGTTTCAGTTGCGCCCCCACCCCCGGCTCAGACCTGCTCTCCACAAGGCTCCCATGCGGCCGCCATCTTTCTTTCCAGAGCCAGTCATCTGTTCTTAAGCACTCTCCCTCCCTCCGTTTCTCTCTTTTTCTGTTTGGCAATTATTGTTTGCAATACAGGTACTGAAAGATTATCATATATATTCCTTTATCACTTTTCAGCACTCAGTTCTTGTCCAGAGTGATCATTTTCAACTATCATTGCCATTGTTGTTAAACTGGTTAGTGGGTCTCTACCTCCAGAATTGCTGCTTCCAGTCCAACCCAGGTTGTGGTCACACCCTTTGTTAGGTGTAAATAAGTCTCCAAACTTCTCTTGACAGGATGAAGTACAGTGGTGAATTCTGTGAAAAAAAAAAACTTGTGCTCCCCAAAAGGAACGTGTCATATGAGATGGGGTCATATAAACTTGGGCAAAGATCTTGTTTGTATAGAGCCGAGACCAGAGAGCTCTGTTGTCAGGGCTTACCTCAAGAATGACTGCTCTTCACTCAAACCCCTCTGACAGATTCAATAAAACCCAAGTCTGTTTTCGACTCAGCTTACATAAAGCTGGATTTCTTGAAAACTTTTGCACTCAGAATCCTCGAACTTCAGATTAACATTTTACATCTGGAACAGGCTTGTTGATCCCATTTTCCTTTCAGTGTCTGCTTCTTCTGTCTCCCCCACTCAGGGGAAACACTCTTTGTCTCTGAACTAGTCTATAGTTCTGTGTTCCACTGCATCCAGTCTTTCTGAGGTTATGACATTGTTCTCCAGTGAATATTGTCAGTGAAGTTCCCACCATGATTGGGTTTCCATCATTTTTTTCTTTTGTGGAATGCTGTGTTCAGTTCTGTTTTTATGAGTTCTTTGTATTGACGCTTTAGGAGTACTCATGGAAATGTTCCTTTTTGATTGTTTTGTCACCACCCATTGAATTTTTATTTGTTAAGGAAACTCAATACCATTTTTCATAGGGCCTACACAAATTTACATTTTCACTGTATACCAGAGTTCCTCCCTCTCCACATCCTCATCAACATTGTTAGTTTCCAATCTTTATGATATAGGGCATTTAAGGTTTTGATTTAAGGTTATATCTCACCATTGGTTTTGATTAATTTCCCTAATAATAAGTAATGAGCATTTTTCACATCCGTATGCCTTCTTTGCAGAAGAGTCTGTTATGCCGTCTGCCCATATTTTTTAAATTGGGTTGCTTGCTTTTTCATGTGTAGCTGTATAAGTTCTTTATATATTTTGGATATTAGTTTCTTGCCAGAAGTGCCATTTCTTCCAGTTTCTAGGTTGCTTTTTTCTTTTGTGGTAGTCTCTTTTGCAATGTCAAAACTCTAATTTAATGTAGCCCCAATTTTAATTCTGGTTTTGTTCTCTTTGCCATTGGAGTTGAGTGACCAAATACATATCTGATATTCAGATACTGAATTATATTGTCTTTTATGTGTATTTTCTGTGTTATTCAGGTCCAATGCCTAAATATTGAATCCATTTTGAATTAACTTTTGTATGATATTAGTGATCAGATTTCTCTTGTTTGTTTGTTTCTTTCTTTCTTTCCTTCTTTCTTTCTTTCTCTCTTTCTTTCTTTCTTTCTTTCTTTCTTTCTTTTCATGTGGCACTCCAGTTTTCCCAGCACCATTTTTGAAGTGCATTTCCTTTCAGCATGATATGGTTTATGGTGTTTTGTCATAGATTAAATATCAATGCATGTGTGAATTTATTTATGAGCTCTTTATTCCATTCAAGTGGCCTGGGGTGCCTGTTTTTTTTGAAGGGGGTCTTCTATGTGGTACTCAGGAGGCCTAGTGGCCCCCATCTGGAACCAGTTCAACAGTTCAATGCAAAGACGCAAGAATACAATGCTGCTCAGAACCCTAAAGTGAAGCAGATTACCCATACCACCATGCTTAGAGACCTTCAGAGCTGCAACCGATGATGCTTGGGGACCATGTGTTTCCAAGGATTGAAATTGGGTCTGCTACATGCAAGATATGTGTTTTAAAGCCTTACTCTCTCTCCTGGGTGTTTCATGTTTTTTATGTTCCAACACACACTATTTTCATTATTGTTGCTTTATAAGTAGGATGAAATCTTGGAGTATCATTACCAGATTTTTTTTCTTATCTCCAAGAATTACTTACCTTTTCACAATCTTTTGTGATTACATACATATTTGATTTTGTGTTTGGGCCACATCCAGCAGTGCTCATGACTTATCCCTGACTCTTGAGCTCGTGCATCACTCCTGGCAGTGCTCGGGGGACCATATGTAGTGCTGGAGAATGAACTGGGATTGACTGCATGAAAGACTATCACTTCAATTCCTGTACTATCTCTCTGATCCCTTATTTATAAACGTTTTAGATTTGTTTCTTCTATTTCCTTGAAATATACCCTTGGGATATATATATATATATATATAGTGTGTGTGTGTGTAATCTGTAGATTGCTTTAGGTAAGGTGACCATCTTAATATTTCATCTAATCCATGAGCATGGGATATTTTTCCATATATTTTATTCAATTTCTTTTAATAATGTCTTGGTCCAAAGAGATAGTACAGGTGTTTTGGCACTTGCCTTCTGTGTGGCCAACTCTGATTTTATCCTGGGCACTGAATATTGCCCCGTGAGCTCTTCCAGAAGTTATCTCTGGGAACAAAGCCAGAAGTAAGCCCTAAGCACAGCTAGATGTGACACATGTGAGCACCCCCCACAAAAATACCGATGTCTTATAGTTTTTTATATGTAGGTCTTTTAATTCCTCTATTTTACTCCCACATGTTTATCTTTTTTAAATTAAATTCTAAATCGAATTATTTTCTTTATTTTCATCTTCTCCAACTTGTTTAGAATGAGAAATGCAATAGTTTTGTATTAATTTTGTTATATCCTACCACTTTACCCAAGTCATTAATTATTTTTCCTAGTTTTTCATGGGGTCATATGTGGTTTTACTATGTATATTATCATAAGGTAAAGGTCCTCCCGTTGATCGTCGATTTGCTCGAGCGGGCCCAGTAACGTCTCCATTGGAGACTTTGTTGTTACTGTATTTGGCATATCCAATACTCTCGGTAGCTTGCCGGGCTCTCCGAGAGGGGCGGAGGAATCGAACTCGGGTCGGCCATGTTGGCCGCTTGTAAGGCGAACGCCCTACCCGCTGTGCTATCGCTCCAGCCCTATATAAATTGCCAGACTTTTGCATCCTTTTTTCAAATTTAGGTTCTTTTTTAAAATACTTCCATCCCAATCTTTATTGATGCACAGTGATTTACAGTGCTGTTAATGATATAATTCTATGCATAAAGCAGTGGAACACCACAATCACCCTCAAAGTATCCATTTCCCAATGTTCTAAGTTCCCCTCCCATCCGCATCCCACATACCCCTTGATAAACTTGATAAACTGTGTTTTGTAGACCAACTCTAAGATTCTGTTGCTTTTGGCCACTTGTTATTCCCTTATATTATGTTTTTTCATATCCCACATATGAGAGAGATCATTATGTATTTGTCCCTCTCCTTCTGACTGACTTCATTCAGCATAATACTTTCATGTTACATCCATGTAGCAGCAGATTGCATAATTTTATCTCTTCTTATAGGTGAGTAGTGTACCATTATCTATGTATACCACAATTTCTTTCATTTTTTCTTTTTTGTTTTTTGGACTACATCCGTGCACAGGGCATATTCCTGGCTTTGTGCTCAGGGTTTACTCCTGGCAGGACTTAGAAGACCATCTGGGATGCTGGGGATCAAACATGGGTCAGCTGCAGGTTAGCTGCAGGGAAGGCGAGTGCCTTACCTGCTGTACTGTCTCTTTGGCCCTTAAACCACAATTGATTTATGCTGTTTGTCTGTTCTTGGATGTGTAGGTTATTTCCAGATCTTGGCAATTGTGCACAGTGCTACAATGAATATATTATTTTCGTTGTTGTTGTTATAGGAGTTATTTTTATAAATGCAAATGTATATTTAAAATTCTGTTTGGGGGCCCTTAGAGTAGATGCCAAGAAGTCTTTTTCTGTCTTCTTAGTGCCTAGTTCAGGCTAGAAATTCCATTCTGCAGTGCTGATGATCTTGAGATAAATTATTGAAATGCAGGTGATCAATGTACTATCATTGCTAGTGTTGATTTTAAATAATTGAAAGAGTCCCCTGGTGTCAAGATTAAAACCACAAAGATTGTTTTAAAATTATCTTTGTTTTAAGATGATGATGGAATCAACTTGAATTCAAGTATCCTGGCAGCACTCCGAAAAATGAAAGATGGCTACTTTGGTGGGGCAAGGTAAGTGATCACTACATACTCTTGAGAGAAATGACATGAAATTGGAAATTAGGAACAATGGTAGACTTTCAGTGTTTTTCTCTGTTCTTTTAACAACAAAACCACAACTTGCAAAGAGGATCTCATGTTTAATATATTGTTTCAAAGAATTTAATGTTATAGAAGACAGTTAAATTTTCTCCCACCATTTTCTTTGCCTAAACTTCATAAATTCAGTGGACCAGAAAACACGTTGTTTTTAAAGGGTAATTGGATTATTGCTTATGACTTATTTTCTCTTCTAATTTCCCAAGATTTTATTTTGAAAAATATTGAGCTTACAGACATGTGTCAGTATCATTGAATGTCATGTCATCTTTCCTTAAGATTCACCAGTTGTTTAAATTTTCTCTCACCATACATTCATTTTCTGAATTTATTTTCTTTTTAATTGAACCATAGTGACACATACATTTACAAAATTGTTCATAATTGGATTTTCGTCGCACAATGTTCCTAACACCTGTCCCATTACCAGTGTATTTTTCTCACCATGAATGGTCCCAGTTTCTTCATCCTGTCCCCCCATTTCGTCCCACCACCTGCCACTATGACAAGCACTGTTCTTTTTTTTTTTTAATTTTTTATTAGCGAAATACCGTGAGATACAGTTGTAGACTTACAAATTTTTGTGCTTGGGTTTCAGTTATACAATGATCAAGTACCCATCCCTCCACCAGTGCCCACCCTCCACCACCATGGGTCCCAGCATCCCTCCCACTCCCCATCCCCCCCATCCCACCCTGCCTCTGTGGCAGGGCATTCCCTTTTGTTCTCTCTCTCCTTTTGGATGTTGTGGTTTGCAAGAGAGGCAATGAGTGGCAATCATGTTTGGTCTGTAGTCTACTTTCAGCATGCTTCTCCCATCCTGGGAGGATCCTCCCAACACCCTTTATTTGGTGCTCCCTTTTCTGTCTGAGCTCCCTTTTCCCCTAGGATGTGTGGCTGGCCTCCAAGCCATGAAGCAAAATTTCCTGGTACTAATCTCGGCCATTCTTGGGTGTTCATCTCCTTATTTTGTTACTTTATATTCCCCAGATGAATGCAATCTTTCCACGTCTACCCCTCTCTTTCTGACTCATTTCGCTTAACATGATACTTTCCATGTAGTACCACTTGTATGTAAATTTCATGACTTCATCTTTTCTAACAGCTACATAGTACTCCATTGTGTAAATGTACCAAAGTTTCTTTAACCAGTCATCTGTTCTCGGGCACTCAGGTTTTTTCCAGATTCTGGCTATTGTAAAGAGTGCTGACAAGCACTTTTCTTCTCTCTCTCTCATTCTCTTCCTTTCTTTCTCTCTTTACCCCTTATCTTCTTTACTGCCTCCTCACTTTCTCACATATTTTTATGCACATTCTCACACGGAGTTTAATGTTGAACAAAAATTTTCTTATACATAACTATGATATAATTACCACACTTGAGAAATTTAATATTGACTATTATCATCCAGTAGAGTGTCCATATTCAAAACTTCCAGTTGTCCCAATGAAGTTTTTCTACAGATGTCTATCCAACATTTATACCTAATCACAGATAGTACATTGTCATTAGTTGTTATGGTTCATTGTTGTCTTTAAATATAGAATAACTCCTCATCTGCATTTTGTTGATATTTCTTGACTTTTTTCATTATAATTTTGAAGAAATTAGGTCTGTTTTTTTTGCAGAGTGGTTCTCAATTTGGATTTGTCTATGTATTGGCTTATGACTAGATTCTGTCTATATGTTATGTTGATCTGTTATATTACAGGAATAGTATCTGTGATACTGTGCTCTTTGCAGTGCATTATATCAGGAGGTACATGACGCTGTTTTGTCACATATCAATGAGGGCTAACTTAATCATTTAATTAAAGTGCTCTCTGCCCAGTTTCTCAATTTCCATTCCCTAACATTCTTGTCAAAATGATCTTAGCCACCAGTGTGAAATTATTACTAACAGGGATGAAAATGATGCTTTATCACTTTTGTACATTTATTAGTTTGAATCCTTCTGGAATATAGAGACCATTCTCTTACCATCATTTGTTTCGTAATTCTAGTGTGAGCACAGATTTATAAGTATGTCATGCTCAATTCCTTTAATCTTTTTCAGTGTTAAAATTATGTAAAATTTGGTCATTGAAAGTTCTTTAGACTGATTTCCTTAAATAGATATACCAAGGTTAAGGCACTTATGTTGCATGTGGCTAATGCCAATTCAATCCCTGGCACCATAGATAAGTAATCCTTGAGCAAAAAGTCAGATGTAAACCCTGAGCATGCTTATTGTGGACTCAGGAAACGACCTCCCCCAACCCCTCACAAGAAAGTTAGTGCTACTGACTTTGCCTTTGAGTTTTGCAACTGGCTTTATAAGTAACAGACATGGTTTAGAATGTATAATTTATAAAATTTTCACAGTAGCATACTTTATTTTTAAATGGTCTTCTCTTCAGTATTTACTAGTGATATGTTGGTTTCATGATGATTTATCTTCACTGTGTCTTTGATTGCTGGTGCAAATTTGTTAACCTTTTGTTTGTCATGGATAGCAACATAGCAACATTTCTTTTCCTGGAAGTGGAAAATAAAACAAACAGACCTACTGATGGGTTGTAAATTCATAATTATAAACGAACATATGCCATAATTTATGGATGTACCATATAGTTTCATTATTTCAAAATTTATTTGTCTATAGACATTAATATTTACCCAACAAACATCCCAGTATCCTTTTTCATTAAATTATGTTGTTTTAAAATGAATTTTCTCTGATGTTTTTGCTTTCTACTTACCTTCTAATTGTCAGGATTCAAATAGGTAAGCTGTCAGAGTTTTTAACAACATCTTGCTGTGCACATTTGAGTTTTATGGACCCTGGGCCTGAAAGTAAGCTTTACAGTGGAGATGATGAATACGACTACAATGAACTAGAATCTGATGACTGGATGAACAGCTGTGATCCAACCAGTAATGGTAAGACAACTTTACAGAAGCCTTCCTGAAGAATAAAACTAAGTTCTGTTGAATATCTTCTTTAATAATACTTGATGCTGCTAACAATATCACCCTGCTTAATACGCTAAAATTTCTACTTTGGGTTTAGCTTTATTTTTTATTTGTCCATTTCCCTTTGGTTTCTGATCTAATATTCTATTGTGTTTCTGTGGAATTAAACTGTTTCTTACTCAGGTTGAGGAAAATTTCTGTCTTGGATATAAAATGGGTGATGATTTTAAAATCAGAGGAGGCAATGGTGAGTGAGAGATATTTAACCAAGTGTGTAATAAGAAAAAATACATATAATGCTTTTGACATTAAATAGCATAAAATATGACAGTTTATATTTTATATAATATTGTAGGAACACATAAGAATATCTGTGGTGACTGATGTAAGTTTTAAAAGACTATCCAGTATGCCTGCTGTTTTTTATTGCAAACTAGACAGGTAAACTCCAACAAATCTAATTGGCTCTTGATAATATATTAAGCCAGTACTGTGGGGTGTATATTAAAAATGATCGTTAAAAAACATACAGCATTAAAATTATGGCCTATGCAGGACAAACATTACATTGTGAGAATCCCAAAAGGCAAATAAAAGAACATTATTTTTTCTAGCCATCTAAAACTTGATGTGCCTACTTTTGTTATCTGGATTTTGAGCCTATTTTTAAAAAAATTTTGTTCATTGAATCACTGAGATACAGTTAGAAAGTTGTTCATGATTGGGTTTCAGTCATACAGTGTTCAACCCCCCCATAACCAGCCTGTTACTTTGACAGTCTCTTCCCTTCCCTTCCCTTCCCTTCCCTTCCCTTCCCTTCCCTTCCCTTCCCTTCCCTTCCCTTCCCTTCCCTTCCCTTAGCTTCTCCCCATATCTCTCCTTTCTTTTTGGCATTACAATTTGCAATACAGGTATTGAAAGGTTATCATGTTTGTTCCTTTACTTACTTTCATCATACTCAGAGTGATCATTTATAACTATCATTGTCATAGTGGTGGTCCCTTCTCTATCCTAATGGCCCTCCCCATCATCACCATTTGTCGCAAGCTTACAACTGTGGACCAGTCCTCCTGGCCCTTGATTCTACTGTCCTTGGGCATTAGTCTCATACTATGTTTTTTTTATGTTCCACAAAATGAGTGCAGTCATTCTATATCTGTCCCTCTCCTTCTGACTCATTTTACTCAGCATGATACTCTCCATATCCTTGCATTTATAAGCGAATTTTCATGAATTCATTTTTTTCCTTAGTGTCTGAGCCTATATGTTAAGGAACAAAATCTCTTTTAATAAAGGTATGTTGGAAAAAAGGGAAAATATATTGAAGGGGATGGAGCGATAGCACAGTGGGTAAGGCACTTGCCTTGCAGGCCACTGACCCGGGTTCTACCCCTGGCATCTCATATGGCCCTCTGAGCACTGCCAGGAGTGATTGCTGAGTGCAAAGCCAGGAGTAACCCCTGAATATTGCTGGATGTGCCCTCCCCAAATGCCCCCAAAATATACTGAAAAGTAAGGTAGCTAAATATATCTTATATAGTAGATTAACATATTAGCAGTCAGAAGCCCTGAATTATTGCTTGTGCATGGTATATACTCACATTAAGTACCACTGAATTTACTTTGTATTTGTTTTTATTTATTTTATTTTGTGAGGGGGCACACTGGCAGTACTCAGGGCTTACTCCTGGTTCTGCACTCAGGGGTCACTTCTGGAGGGCTCGAAGGGACTATAGGGCTACTAGGATTGAATCTGGGTCAGCCGTCTGCAAAGCCAGCATCTTGCCCACTGTGCTCTCTCTCCTTACCCTCTGTTTTCATGAGCTCTAAAATAGTTTGAATTTCTTTGTTGGAATGATAATTTTAATTAAAGATCACTCCTTTATATATAGTAAATCTTGATACCTGTTTTAGATTACGTTTAAGTTTTTAAAAATAAGCAACAATAATCATATATTAGGTATATACGTAATTGTGAATATTGTGCCATTTCAGGTGTCACTGTCACTGTCCTCCCGTTATTCATTGATTTGCTTGAGCAGGCACCAGTAACATCTCACAATTTGTTCTCACAATAAATTGTGAGATTTGTTGTTACTGTTTTTTGGCATATTGAATATGTCATGGGTAGCTTGTCAGGCTTTGCCGTGCGGGCGAGATACTCTAAGTAGCTTGCTGGGCTCTCCAAGAGGGTCAGAGGAATCGGACCCAGTCTACCACATGCAAAGCAGATGCCCTGACCACTGTGCTATTGCTCCAGCCCACCATTCCAGGTGTAGTTGTAATTATTCATCTTTAGGATTTATTTTTTGGAGTACTTCTAAAACATTTTTAATGATATATATTATTAAATTTTTTATTGTGAATCACTTTCCCACTTCGGGATTTACTCAATAGTGGTCTTAAAATAGATGGTTTTTGTTTACCAAGTCAGATCAGAGCTTGGAAAGACATTTGAAGAGATCATCAAAGATAATAAAAATCCATTATGATGAATTGTGACTGATCAGACCTCAGTATCGATCCAAACACTAAGCTCTTCCAGATATAAACGTGAATTTTCATGTACAGTCTAAAATATTAAGTATATATGATACATGTAAATTTTATTTCTATTATTTGGAATCAAAGACAATGTTATAGAAGGACGGGGACTCCCTGAAAGATGAGGGATAATATATGTTTTCATCATCATTGAAACTCTAGCAATTTGCCTAGTACTTGGTATATATCTAGTAGTCAATAAATATTTGTTTAATAAATGAAGTGAATAAAACAACTAACATTAGAAGTAGGAAGAAATAATTTTTTTCTCAACAATTGGACCTGACGTTGAAAAATCTGTTTTTAGCCAGTCTCAATACTTGGTGCAAGATTATTTTTTTGCCAATTCCCACCCTTTCCCACATTTATCCTTATTTTGGTGAGATTTGAAGGCCATCACAGATAAATGCGCAACATTTGAAATAATAAGGGGTTTTGGATGCTGTTGTTTTCTGTGGTGCCAGGGATCATACTCAGGGTTTCATACATGCAAGTCAAGAGCTCTGCAACCACTGAGCTAGATCTCTGGCCAGTGTGCATAGGTTTTGTTTGTTCTCAACATGCAGAGAAATATGTTCTACCTATCCTAGAGTAAGTTCACGCAACTTTCATTAGTCCAAATTTACTTCAACAATGTAAAGAATAGGTGGGTCCTAGTTAATTGTCATGGTTTCTGAATTGAAATGTCTCTGAATGATACAATGATCATGGACAATTTTTTTCTCTCCATGAGCTCACACAACCTCCTTCTGGCACTGTGTTGTTGACACAGGAGATAGTCATTGTGTTTTCTGGGGTAGATAATGAAATAATTTAAGTGCTCATTTTTTCTCTTTCCTCTCTCCCCACTAAATTTACAGCTCGCTGTAGTGATGAAGTTGCTCGTTATATAGATCACATTTTAGCACACACTACTCCCTATCCTAAACAAGCCCCTGCTTTACGGAAGGAAAAGCTAGATCGGTTCCGAATTGCTGAACAACCAACGTGTGATTTAATGTCCTTGGTAACTGAGAGCCAGAAGCTGCATGTACAGAGTGAGTACTGCTGTGACTCACTAGTCAGTCAATGGATGGCATGAAGCCCTTCCTGGGGATGAGATGTTCATTACAGGACAAGAGTAATCAGGAACTTTGTTTAATTTGCTGTATTACTAACATCATTTTTTTTTGTGGGGGAGGCCTAACAAGCAGTGCTCAGGGGCCCTGGAACCCCTTCTGGTGATTCTTGTCTAATTGGGTCATTTGAGGCCCAAGGACATGGTGCTTCTTAGCCCCTCTGGTGCTGGGAGTACCGACCAGGTATTCAGGGGGCCTCCAGGGCTGCTCCTGGTGGTATTCAGAGAACCATGTAATGCTGGTGATGGAAACAGGGTGAGCTACATGTGAGGTATGTGCCTTAATCTCTCTGCTGTCTCTCCAGCCCCTATTATAGCATCTTGGTCAGTACTTAGAACACACTAGACACCCAATTTTTTGTGAAGTTTATGAATTTGGGTATAACTTTACTGTGTATGATGCTATATAGTCATATCTAAGCAGTAATATAGGTAAAGGTAAAGGCCCTCCCGTTGATCGTCGATTTGCTCGAGCGGGCCCAGTAACGTCTCCATTGGAGACTTTGTTGTTACTGTGTCTGGCATATCGAATACTCTCGGTAGCTTGCCGGGCTCTCCAAGAGGGGCGGAGGAATCGAACTTGGGTCGGCCATGTTGGCCGCTTGTAAGGCGAACGCCCTACCGCTGTGCTATTGAGAGCAAAACAAGACATAAAGCATATTTAATTGAACACCTAAGTATTAAAATGGTGGGAAGTTTGTTTTTCCTTTGTAAATAATTTTATTTTTAAAGAGAACGTATTTGAGAACTATTAAAATTGTCATATTGGGGCTGGAGAGATAGTTCATAAGTAGGGCACTTGCCTTGCATGTGACCTAACAGGCATACCTCTCGTTGCCTGGCATTTCATATGGTCCTCTGAGCACCAGCAGGAGTAATTACTGAGGGCAGAGACAAGAGTAATCTCAGAGCATCATCAGGGGTGGCCTAAAGAACCAAATAAATAAATAAAAATGGCCATGCAGCAATGCACTGGCATGGAATACTTTCCCTTAACTAAGTTCCATTTGGTTCGTTAGATCATGTGACTTTTGCAGTCAGTTGCTCCAACAATGTACAGCTTTGTCAAATATATAGCTTACTCTTACTCTTCAACAAAATTTCCATTCCTCTCACAATAACCACTCTCTTCTATTATTTTCAGGAGTGATCATGGTTCTTAAAAGTGCTCAATCCTCTATGTTAACTGCATGTGAAAGGAGGGAAAGGCTTCCTGGGCACACCTAGAGAACCTAAATATCAACATTTTATAGATGATAAGAATGACTGAATAAATATTCTTGCAGTATAATACTTTATTAACACATTATTAACTAAAGATATCAAACATGACCATTGAGGATATATTTGACATTTAGAATAGTTGAATGCTTAATATACTGAGTATTTTCCTTTGACAAAGGGTTTATGCAAAGAGATAACCTTTTGTTAGTTACATTTATAAATTGTGGATCAGGAAACTTGAGCTCAATTACCAGCTCCGCCATTTGTGTTTTGAACAGTTATTTAAGATTTCTAATTTCTTTTTATATATATAAAATGATGGAAATGACAAATGTCTCCTTTGAGGTCACTGTTAAGTATGAAATGTAAGTAAAAAAGTTTAAGGAAAAAATCATGTAGATTTCAGCAAAAAAAGATGGTTTTGTATCTTATGACCTATGAAAGCTTATTCTTATTGTAACATATAAAATTAAATATCCTGAGACCAGAACCACATCCAACTGTACTTTAAAATTTCTTTGTTATCATACATCTATCTATTTGCAAGTGAATCAAACTACTAGCTATTGGATTCACCTGCCAGATATTTGCTTGGGAAAGTTTGTAAAGTATAAACATCGTTGGGTTCTTTTTATTAAACTGTCATAGTACTAGTGTGGTATTTTAAAATATAAATTAATATGGTACATATAAAATTATTTAGACACTGTGGAGTAAAAGTTGTGGCATATAGACACAATGAAACGCTGTCCACAAGAAAATATGAAAGCATGGGAGTCAAACTACAATAATTTAGCTTAAAAATGCATCTTTTAAGGAGTCTGAGATGTTGTTGGGAGGGAACCTGGGGTAACTATTGTGGTATTTCCTATATCAGTAGAATTCAATATCTTACTTGTTTTTCTGCTATTATTGTTATAACTTGTTTTTCTGCTATTATTGTTATAATATTCCATTCAAATATGTTTATTAATTGGATATTCTTTTAATAATCTATTCATTTTTTCCATTCAGTATTTTCTAAGAATAAAATTTTTATTCTATAAAATCTAGTGTATCGCTGAACTCAGTTGTGAATTATTATTATGTAATCTTTCCCATTAATGTCTCTTGCAGATGTTAACAAGTATGTTCCTACAAAGATATTTCAATATTCATGGCCTTCATTCAACTTGCTTGATACTCCTGATTCCTCACCAGAGAACCAGGTAAACTTGTTCCTGGATGCAGTATTTCAGTTACCTTTTTCTGCAACACTGTCATGCTTATGGAAAATAATAAAACTAGTTGTTTTGATTTTTGTTAAAAAAATGCCACTCTGGTAAGGATATATATTCTTTCTGGATCACCTTTTTTGATTTTGGGATCAACCCCAGTGGTGATTAGGGCTTGCTCCTGGCTCTGTTGTTAGGGATCATTCTTGGTAATGCTTGCTGCTCATGTGTGGTGTTGGAGATTGAACCCAAGTGAGCTGCGTACAAGGCAAGCTCCTTATCTGCTTTACTGTCTCTTTGACCCTCAAGTTCACTTTTTAAATGTGCAGGTTGTTTCCAGGAAGACTTAAAAAACATATTGCTATACATAAGTGTTGAATATTGCATTTTGTTTTTTTCAAAATATAGGGAACTTTATGGTCAAATTTAGAAAGATAAAGATTAGCATGCTAGAGCATTATTTAAGTTGAGCCCTTGGAAACTTAACTTTTTATCCTTTCTCAAACCACAGGTTCCCTCTATTCATGTAGAACAACACCTTCCTAGGGACGAGTCTGGGGAGGTGGACTTCAAAACACTGGTTATACAGCTGAAGGAGACTTCCAGCCTGCAGGAGCAAGCTGATATCCTCTACATGCTATATACAACGAAGTAAGTGATTAATATTGCCATACTGCTTTACTGTTTATATAGATAAGTGTTTTGGAGTCTCACTGATCTGGATTTGCATGCAATATTTTCAATCTACCCCTATTTAATTTAAAAACTGAAATGGTTTTCACTTGTAAAATTTGAAGTGGGCTCTCTCATAGTTATTGCAAAGATTATGATGTAGTTGCAGTTTCTAATACGGTAACTGACAACTATTATTATCAGTCGTACGATTTTCCACTAATAGCTTCCACTATTTGGTAAAAGCATCAGATAAACAAAAAACTCTCTTTTTTTCAAGGAGCAATGCTTATTTTATTTTATTACTTATTTTTTTAATTTTTATTAATGAATCACCATGTGGTACAGTTGTAGACTTACAATTTTTATGCTTGGGTTTCAGTTATACAATGATTGAGTATCCATCCCTCTACCAGTGCCCATTCTCCACCTGCAGTGCTTCCAGTATCCCTCTCACCCCCCCAGACCCCCAATCCCATCCCACCCCTGTGGCAGGGCATTCCCTTTAAACAAAATATACTTAACTGAAAAAGGTGAGAATATGTAGGCTTATAGAGAAAGAAACCAGCATTTTTCAGTGTTTGCTATATGCAAGCACCCTGATAAAAATATTATATATAGGTACCTTTCACTTATCCTGATCTTTGCCTCACTGAACTTATTCTTCCTCATTTATTTGTATTTTCATTGCCCCAGTCAAGCAGGAGGAAGTTCTCCTAAATTTGGTTTGAATATTGATAATGTCATATCAACATTCAAACCAAATTATACCATAATTATTATTATGTCATATATATAGTGTTGAATCTGTTTCTCACATCATGGAACTTTTTATATATAGTGATATCATACATATACATACTCTCTATATTTGTGTATATGAGGTATTGAATCTATTTCTCACATCATGCAACTTTCTGGACAGTGGAGCATGATTCCAAATTGCTCCAAATAAAACTTGAATGTGCAGGAAAGGGAGTTAGTATTTGGGGTTTTTATTATGATTTTCAGATGAGGTTGGTGTGGAGATTCTCACCCACACCCCACACATTCTTACCAGTTTGTCCAGATACTGGCTAGAAGGGAAAGGAGAGTGGTAGAATTTCTTTCTTCCTTTTTATAATAAAATGTTTGCACTTAGACAAAAGTAGACAAAATATAACTAACATTTGGACTCATCACTTAGCCAAAACAGTTATAAGCACATGCTGAACCTTGTCACATCTATATTCTTACACTGCCTTCCCTGAATTAGTTTGAAGACAATACCAGATTAATATTTCAATAGTATTTATAAGACAATGAATCTCTTAAGACATAACCACAATGAGACTTCTAATTCTATATAGGAAATAGTAGATGTGCTTATTTCTGTTGAACCTGTTAAGTACATGAAGACATTATCTATATAACAAATATAACATAACAAGATGTTGGAATGTGGACAGAAGAAAGAACACTTGTGGATAACTGTAAAATCTTATCACGCCGAAGGTTGTGTGTTCACGGGCTCACTGGATGGCACTGTCTCACTGCCTGCGTTCGGTGCTCTTGAGCCGCTGAGTGTGGCCTGGATTGGAACGGCTGTTGGCCAAGGGCAGATGGAAAAAGAAACGAGGGCCAGGCCGGTCTATAGCAATAGTAGTTTATTCCAATCCTCTTCACTCCTGTCTTTCTCTGCCTCCTTCTCTCCTGGGCCCCAATTTTGGAACCTCTCTCCTTCTGGCTCTGACTCTGGATCTCTGGAGCCCAAGCTCTCTCACTTCTGACTCCCTTCTCCGAGCTTACGTCTTAGTTTATATAGCAGTCACATAAGGTGGTGACATAATGTTGGGTTGAATACTGACAAATCAACAAAGAGAGGTAAGACCACTCCTCCAGGAGATTAACTCAAGGATAAAATCTCATCTACAGAGATTACTTCAGATTACTAGGAGATCCGCTCAAGGGTGGGATCCCAACAAGGGTGTGTTCTTCTCTCAGTTAGTAATCTACTTAAATAGTTGTAATAAATATACTTCTAATATTTCTAGCATTGTCATTCTGTATGAGCACAGTAAGAGATATAAATTTAGTTTGGTTGTTCCTGAGAACATCTCACTATACATTCCGCAGTCCTCAGGCCAGATTAATCTTCCTAGCTCCAGCAGGGTCCTAGTCTCGTCGTTACTTACTTTTGGATCATGACAGCATTTGTCCATGATCATGCCCTCAACTTATAGTTGAGTATCGTGGCTCTTTGGCCTGGCCCATTTCGATGCCAGGGTAGCTCACTGCTTGCCCTGGGTCCATTCAGTCCCTCGTCGGGACCCTGCTTTTGGGGTGCTAGGAACTAAGGACAACTGAGTCAAGAAATCAGATGCCCAGGAGTAAATATTATTCAGAGTCAATCAACTCCCAAGTTACAAAGCATAATATTAACTGTCTTCCTGTGTCCACACAGAAAGGACATTGCTTACAATACAAGTTCAGTGTCCTTAGATGGGTGTGACCAGACAAACCTAAGCTACCTAAGGAAGGACAAAAGACTGTTATCCTACAGATAACATTAGAATTTTTGGAATGACAAAGTTGTAAGATCAAAGATTTTTGTCCTTTATTTTTTGTGGGGTTGGGCCACACCTAGCAGTGTTCAGGTCTTACTCCTGGCTATGTGCTCGGAAGTCGTTCCTGTCAGGGTTCAGGGAACAATACGGGATGCCGAGAATTGACCCTGAGTCAGCCACGTGCAAGGCAAACACTCTACCTGCTGTTCTATCACTCCAACCTGTTTTTCGTGTTTAAATATTTTTAATTTAAAGAACCATGATTTACAAAGTTATTGATAGTTGAGTTTTAGGCATATAATGTTCTATCACAAATCCCACCACCAGTGTCCCATGTCCCTCCCACCAGCTCTCTCACACCTTTATAATCACATTATAAAGTTTGGTGATTATAGCTTGAATCTCATGTGCTCAGTGTGTTGAGTCATTTCTTTGAATATATAGCTATACAATTACCCAACATTACCAGTATTACCTTTTTTTACTTCATGTATCTTGCATTTAATGCTGGAGAAGTCAGAACCTAGCAACACTGTGCATGAATAATAAAATCCCTAAGAAAAACTTAATCTTTTTAGACAAAGGATTAGGAAAGGGACAGCCAAGCAAGACTGGCAACTTTTAATGACCAATCTATGCCAGTTAAACGCCATAGAAAACCTTGTAGCCACATTCATATAACCAAAGACAATGAAAAGCCCACATTTCCCCTTTTCCAGCTGTGATAAGGCAGAGAATTTTCTATCTACCCACTACTGGGATCATGTCAAGGAATGTCAAGTAGGTATCTGGGACTTTTATTGACTCTGGGTGTAATCTATAAAGCCCCACTTCTTTCCATTAGATTATGGGGTTTAATGATTGAGTGAAAAAAAATTTTAAGGTATTTAGACAGCTAGAAAGCCCCTAGCAGCAAGGTCAAATTTTTCTGCACCATTTGTATTAAAAATTCCTAAAACGGGGCTGGAACAATAGCACAGTGGGTAAGGCCTTGCACACGACTGACCTGGGTTTGATACCCAGCATCCCATATGGTCCCCTGAGTACCACCAGGAGTAATTCCTGAGTGCATGAGCCAGGAGTAACCCCTGTGCATTGCCGGGTGTGACCCAGACACCAAAAAAAAAAAATACCTAAAAGGTTTTTTTTGTGTATTTGGCCTCACTCAGCTTTACTTAGTGGTTACTTCTGGTTCTGCACACAGGAATTACTCCTGGCAGAGCTTGGGGGACCATATGGGATGCTGGAGATTAAACATGGGTCAGCTGTGTACAAGGCAAAAGCCCTACCCACTGTACTATTGCTCCAGGCCTCCAAATAGATTTTAACCATTTAAGGAATGCATGCCTTAAAATACAGTCTCCATCTTCTATCCTTGTTCCAGGAATACTGCAAGTCACTCCGGTATCATTCAGCTCTCTCGGAGAGATAGTGCTATTGGGGACATCACCTAGACATGTCCATGAAGAACTAGAAACCTTGAACAGACTAACCAGAAGTATAGAAATAAAAGGTTCCCAAGAATAAAAGCCCATGACCATATAATTTCATGAATGAAATGGACAAAGAACTAGTAGCCTTTTGCTAAAACTTTCAGAAAAGCCAAAGAGCAAGGAATTCTCCTAAATACATTTGATGTAGTCAATTTGTAAGCCAGATTTTTAAAAAAATACTGTACAAACCCCAAAAACTAAAGATCAGATTAGTGTTTCTGGTGAACTCTGACGCAGAAATCTTCAACAAAATTCTCATAATCAAATTCAAGAACATATCAAGAGAATCTTTATCCTGACCAAGTAGGATTCATCCTGGGATTCAAGAATGAATCAAAATATGTAAAACTAATGTAATACATAACATCAACATGAAAAATATAAAAAATAAAATTAATAGGTCATGAGAAAAGCATTTGACAAGACTCAATGTCCATTTATGACAAAAAAAATTCTTCTCAAAAATTGAAATAGGAGGGTATGGTGCCACCAGGAGGTCAGTCTGTACCTGTGAGGCGAGTGCATCAGCAGCCTCATAGTGCCTTCAGACTTCCGGATAACCCAAAATTGCTGCTGTGCCTTTGGCCAGACCCCAAAAACTTGGGACAAAGTTTGCCAAGAAAGTAAACGGCCAAAAGTTAGGTATGTGGAAAACACACCCACAAACCACCTCCGGCTCAGCTATATAATTGGAGACAAGGCCTCTTTGGTTCCTGATTGAACTGTTTAATGGACATAATCCCAGAGACTCAGAAACGAATCTCAGAACCCAGTGGCTTTAGGTAGAAATGCGTCTTGTCTCTGCAGTAGGCTACCGGTGCTGGGCCAACCCAGGTGGGAATAGGTTTCGTGCCTTGGCCTGTTCCCCCTGGCGGCCCAGCTGCTGCCATCCAACTGAGGCCCCTGGATAGTCACATTTGGGCCCCCAGTGACGAGACAC